CAATTATCAAAAAAAATTACAATTTAAAAATGTATGTAATATCTAGGTAGGGGGATGGGAGAGGGAAGGCGTGGCGGTTCAGGATGTTAGTCACACATGAAAGTTGTAAACCGATTCGATAACATGACCTGATGAGCTAACTAGGTACCTTGTGTGGCTTGTCGTGCCTACAAGCTTGCACTCAGTACTCATTTGCCCTCCAGTTGGGACTCAGACTCCTGTTCCCCACTGTTGCTGGTCTTCTTCTAACTCAACCAAATTTTCTTGTAATTGTTGTACCATTAATATTCAACAGTTAGCAAAAGTCAGAAATTTGTTGGAGATCAAAAGTAATGACATTAAATATATAAGAAACATACCTCCACGAAAGGATGAGTAATGTACAATCTCCTGGTGCTACTACAAGCATCAAGATGACTAGTCATGGACTCATATCATAATGGAGCTTCTAGAATGGTCCTGAAAATCCAAACAATTGTGCGTCATCAGGAGGTATGGTGGTGGGATCTAAGTCGGCATGAACCTCTACCCTAAGTTGTACATACATCTCATACGACTTACCAAAATAAAATGGAGTTAGCTAATTTATAGCATCTCAGTATAATGGTTTTACATCGATCATATATGTTCCATGTCTTTAAAAATTATAGTTTTCTAATATCAATGGTAGTCATTACGTAATGACCATTATCTTCTGAACTTACCTCTATTTTTCAAGGACTAGTTTGGTAAATAAGAGGTTAAAAGGGGTAAACCTTCCTTCCCCATTTTGATCGACAACTTTTGGGAGTAAATAGAGAGAAAATGGATTTTGAGAAGTTTTCTTCTTGAATATCTGGTGAAGGTTTGAAGAAGTTGGAGTGAAAGAATCATCATGTTGAAAGTAAATCTCCTAATTCCACGCTTAGTGTATACATTAATGGAGTTTTGATCTTGTTTGGGGATTTCTTGCCTATTGGGTTTTTTTTTGGTTGAAAACCTCATTGATTATCTTGTTGAGTTCGAAATAATGTTCCACAAATGATTTAATCGAAGGATTTCGTCTTTTTTGATGGTTTCAATTAAGGACAAAGGGTTCAAATCTGAAAGCTTAGATTCATAGTTTTGTTATAGGTTTGGATAGACTAATCCATGACTTATATGGATCAAATGGATTTAAATCACTTATAGTTGGTATCATTGGTTTTGGGTATTATATGATCTTGGAAACCGTTGTTGGATTGAATTTTGAGAATTAGGGAAGAACTTGCACAAACAGGGACTGTGGTCGGCGACGGGGACTATGGTCGGCGACGAGGACGGTGTTGGTAGTCGGCGTTGTGCTCTCCGTTCTTTCTCTCTCTCGATCGTATGATCTGCTTTCAAATGGGAAATGTTAGGGTTTTGTTAAGGTTATCTGTGACGGAATTTCGAGGGAAAATTCGTCACTAGTTATTAAAATTTAAAAGTAATTTTTCTAATTAATTAAATTAATTTTTTTAATTAATAACTACAAATTTAATTAATTTTTAATTATTGATTATTAAATATTAAATTACTAATTATTTATTAATTATTAAATTATCAATTATTTATTATTTATTAGAATATTACAAAAATTAATTAATAAAACCGAATAAATCTCATTAAGGCCCATAAAACTTAACAAAGCCTAATAAAATCCAATAAAATAGATTAAACTCATAAAATCGAATAAAACCCATTAATCCCAATAAAACTTAACAAAACCCAATAAAATCGAATAAAGTCCGATACAATGGATTAAGGCTCAATAAAATCGAATAAAGCTCATTAAGACCCAATAAAACCGAATAAAGTCCAATAAAATGGATTAAGGCCCAATAAAACTAAATAAAGCCAGTAAGGCCCAATAATACCAAAAAAAGTCCAATAAAATTGAAATAAAGCCCGTTAGGCCCAATAAAATCAAAAAAAGTCCAACAAAATTTATTAAGGCCCAATACTGAATAAAGTCATTAAGACCCATTAAACTGAACAAAGCCTAATAAAACCGAATAAAGTCAAATAAAATGGATTAGGGTCCAATAAAACCGTACAAAGCCTAATAAAACCGAATAAAGTCTAATAAAATGGATTAAGGCCCAATAAAACTAAATAAAGCTCATTAAAACCCAATATACTCAATAAAGCCTAATAAATGGATTAAGGCCCAATAAAACCGAACAAAACCCAATAAAATTGGTTAAGGTCCAATAAAACCGAATAAAGCCCACACACACATACTATCTATACATTCACATATACACATATGTTTAAACATATATACATCATCTGATACATGTATCTTAAACAATATATACATCGATCCAATCGTGGTTAGCAACCATCACACATTTATACACATCGTGTATACATATGTATATAACACGGATCGACGGGTATATATACATATGTTGATCCTCTCTCTCAGTGATTTGATGATAATCCCTTTTTCCTTTCGATGTATTTCTGTATCTGTAATTTCAGTTCCAACGATCATACACCGAGCTTGTTCAGTGATCGCTGAAGAACTTGTTTTGTAATTCATTCAGAGACAACGATACTTCAAGAAAACAACAC